AAACACCTATCATGTAGGTTATCTTCAATAAAGGGTCCACAATGTTTATGCTTTAATCAAGTTTCATAAATTTTTCTTGACGCATTGATAAAATACTAACGTGGACGAATTAATTTCTGACGTGGCAAGTAAAATTTAGCCGAATGAATTATAATATGGAAGTCTCCCTTGAGAAGTCTCTTGCTAATGTTCCCTAATCACTCCTACATAAGATACATCATAGCCCATATGAATTAATCCCTCCTCAGACCTTAGAATCACTAATAGCCAACAAAGGCTGATTATTTTAAGAAGAAGAAAAAGGTTGACTGATTATGAATTTGTTTGTGATTGATGTTGAATTTGTAATTGCTTGGAATATTACCTTCTTGTAAATTTTTTTTTTTTTTTGAAACGATGAAATTCTTAAATTGAACTCAAATAAGCGTACGATTACATCGAGCGACGAATGGTTACAAGAACCTACTTCGACCAACCTCAAAATAGGTATACCCGAAACAATCATAACAGATTGCCCTTAGTAGCCTCAATGGCTAAATCCCTATAAGCAGCACACAACGTCCCACCAAAATACAAACCTTCTTGTAAATATTCACTCAGTAAGAAAATAGATATTCTTGGACCTAAAATTAAACACTTTTTTTAGTAACAATTGGGTCAGTTTTTATTTTTTTTAATCAGTGACAGTTATAGAAAAACATTTATTTTTAATTGCGAGCCTGGCCCGACAAACCTGCGGCCAGAGGCGGGGGCGGATTGGGCCTGCATTTCTCAGTCCGCCAAGCCCATCCAATTGGTGGATTTTTGCGGGCTATGGGCCGGCCCATTTTGACTGTTTTAATTGTACTCATAAATACAAAATTTCAAACTCAAGTTTCTCTTCTCTCTTTACAATACAACTTAAGGGGTCAATTCTACGTAACTTTTTTAACAAAAATATATATATTTATAATATAATATGTTATATTTTTATTTATTATTTTTAAAGTATAATCGCTTTATTTATTAAATATGCTAGCCTCTTTAAAAGTAACTTGCCCCTGTTCTTTATAGTTTCCATACATATTTTGGACTTTTTTTGTTTTTAGTATTATAAAATATCTAAGCATTATGGGGTAAAGATTGTAATTATTCATTGAACTGTGAAAAACGGAAAATTCGATCCTACCCATGTGGCAGCGTTCACATGGATTTTTAACCCTTGATTTACACATAAACATACACACACACACCCATAATAAGCTTCTCTATGCATCTTGTATTCTCCAGTCACATGTTCATCTGCTGGTCAAAACCAATTTACAAGATGAAATTTTCAGCTCTGCAACATTTCAGACAGCTTCCAGTCAGTTGAAGGCCAGAAATCAGAATAAAATGTAAGTCATTGAATTTCACTTTTGAGCCCTGAAATTCAGAACTTGTTAATAAAATTGTAAAGTCCCCTTGAGCAGATTGTATATTACGCTTGGGTGTGTGACTAAGTGTACTTGTCTTCATGAGAAGGTGAAATGTCAAAATAGTAAAACTAATTAAAAATAGCCTTCCTATCTTTCAAAACCTATAAATACACTCATATTTTTGCTTCAATTATGTTTGTACATGGTGTTTTTATTTATTCTATAACT